ACTTGAGCTCACTTTGTTTTTTTTTTTTTTTTTGCGGCACCGGGGATTGAACTCAGGACCTTGTGCTTGCCAGGTAGGCACTTGTTCCACTGAGCTATATCCCTGGCCTGAAATACTTTATAATCATCATGTTCTATTTTGTTTGTTTGTTTGTTTTCTGGTACAGTGAATCGAACTCACAACCTTGAGCATGCTGTGCTGCTGCGCTAAATCCCCAGCCCCTTGAGCTCACTTTGTAGCCCAGGCTGGCCTCAAACTTGCAACGATCCTTCTGCCTCAGCTACCTTGGGGGCTGTTTGGAAGTGACGTGGACTCTCCTAGTTCTTGTGTGGAGGCTGGTGGTATCACCAGAGTGAAAGGACGACCCCCCAGCAGAGAGCACTGGCTTGCTATGTGGTGGTTGCCCAAATCCATCTGTAAGGGGTTTACATTTGCAGTCACACTGAGGGTTCAGAATCCAAACTGGAATCTTCCCTTTGCCCATTTCCATCTTCCATTGATTCTCAGTGTGGTTAAAATGCCCAGATTCCCCAGCAATATGTCTTGGGCAAGGCTGAATCGTGCTCCTTCCACTGTTTTGAGGAATCACTGAGCTGGGCCTCCCTTGGCTACCCTGTGGCCATGGTGCAGGGGGGCAGCCTCTCAGCAGAGGCACCATGTCCTCTGTGCTGTAGGACCCCAGGACCCTCGTGTCCACCTGAGGGCTGCCTCCCTCATGTCCACTGGCTTCTGATGTCCTGCATGCCCGTTTCACATCCCTGGAAACCAGCACTTCTTCTGGATTCCACCGTCACCACTGGCCCAGCGTCAGGCTGTCTATGCGGCCACAAGTTTGGAATCGCTCGGCCTCCTGTACATCTGGAGGACCAGCCGGCCAGCCGCCTCGCCCGCCACCACCCTCCTATGTACTCTCTTTTGGTCTGCTTCTTTAACTCAGCTCAATAATTCTGAGATTCATCCTCATTACTGTGTGCCAGCAGTCCTTCCTTGTTTATTGTGGTGTGGCATCTGTCATGTCACGACTTGTCTATCCATCCACATGTTGATGGATATTGGTCTTCAGACTGGGGCTATTAGGTTTCTTGCTGTGAACATTAGTTTCAAAGCTGTGTTGATGTAGGTTACCATTCCTCTTGGGCAAGTACCTAGGAGTGGAATGGCAGGGTCACACATTAGGTACATGCTAAGCTTTTTTTTCCCCCGTTGTTGTTAGTGTTTTCTTCTCAAATGTAGACACATCATTCAATTTCTTTTGCCTTTGTAGCAAAATATGAGAAAAATTAGCAATGAATAGCAGTCTTTTTTAAAACCAGCAATTCTAAGACTTTGCTTCTCTTTTTCCTTCTTTGCCTTCCACCTTGCTCTAGGAGTGGTCCCCCTCTGGGTCCCTATTCCTGGCCAGGAGCATCCTCAAAGAGAGCCAGGAGTTGGGGTGGACTGGGGTTTCTTGCTTTGGAAGTGCAGCACTGAGATAAAGTGTCAAAGACATTGCTGGTTTACTGGGATGCACTTAAGCTACTCTTTCTGTTTTCAGCAAAATCTAGAAGCATGGGGCAAGTGAGAATATGCACACATGTGGAAAATACCTTGGGGTGTGTGTGTGTGTACAATAACAGCTTTTAACCAGAAATAAAAAGGAAGGAGAGAAAGAAGAAGAAAGGAAGGAAGGAAGGGAGGAAGGAAGGAAGGAAAGAAGGAAAGAAGGAAGTTTAAACTTTTTTAAAAAATTAATTCTATTGGGGTTTTTTTTTGTTTGTTTTTTTGTTTTTGTCTTTTTGAGACAGCGTCTCCCTGTGAGTTCAGGCTGGCCTTGAGCTCACTTTGTAGCCCAGGCCGGTCTCAAACTCACAACGATCCTCTTGCCTCAGCCTCCAGAGTGCTAGGATTACAGGCATGCATCACCA